TCACCAGTCACCCCCCTCACTGTCACCAGTCACCCCCCCACTGTCACTAGTCACCCCCCACTGTCACTAGTCACCCCCCCACTCTGTCACCCCCTCACTGTCACTAGTCACCCCCCCACTGTCACTAGTCATCCCCCCTCACTGTCACTAGTCACCCCCACTGTCACTAGTCATCCCCCCTCACTGTCACTAGTCATCCCCCCTCACTGTCACTTCTAGTCCACCCCCCCCACTGTCACTAGTCACACCCCCCCTCACTGTCACTAGTCACCCCCCCACTTTGTACTAGTCACCCCTCACTGTCACTAGTCACCCCCCCACTGTCACTAGTCACTTACTGTCATAGTCCCGCCCCCACTGTCACACTAGTCACCCCCCCACTGTCACTAGTCACCCCCACTGTACTAGTCACCCCCCCACTGTCACCAGTCACCCCCCCCTCTCTGTCACCAGTCACCCCCCCCTCTCTGTCACTAGTCACCCTCTCCCTCACTCTGTCACTACTCACACCCTCCCTCACTCTGTCACTAGAGTGAGGGGATGACTGGTGACAGAGTGAGTTAGGGGGTGACTAGTGACAGAAGGAGGGATGGAGTAGTGATAGAGGGAGGTGGTGACTAATGACAGTCACCACCTCCCTCACTCTGTCACTAGTCACCCCCTCACTCTAGTGACAGTGAGGGAGGGTGTGACTAGTGACAGAGTGAGGGAGGGAAGTGGTGACTAGTTGACAGCGTTAGGGAGGGAAGGGGTGACTAGTGACAGAGTGAGGAAGGGGGTGACTAGTGGCAGAGGGAGGGGTGACTAGGGACAGAGGGAGGGAGGTGGTGACTAGTGACAGTCACCACCTCCCTCACTCTGTCACTAGTCACCACCTCCCTCACTGTGTCACCCCCTCCCTCTGTCACTGGTCACCCACTCCCTCCCTCACTCTGTCACTAGTCACCCCTTCCTTCCCTCTGTCACTAGTCACCCCCCTCACTCTGTCACTAGTCACCCCCTTCACTCTGTCACTAGTCACCCCCTCACTCTAGTGAAAGAGTGAGGGAGGGTGTGAGTAGTGACAGAGAGAGGGAGGGGGTGACTAGTGACAGTGAGGGAGGGGGTGACTAGTGACAGTGAGGGAGGGGGTGACTAGTGACAGAGTGAGGGAGGGTGTCACTAGTGACAGAGAGAGGGAGGGGGTGACTAGTGACAGTGATGGAGGGGGTGACTAGTGACAGAGTGAGGGAGGGTGTCACTAGTGACAGAGAGAGGGAGGGGGTGACTAGTGACAGTCACCACCTCCTTCACTCTGTCACTAGTCACCCCCTCCCTCACTCTGTCACTAGAGTGAGGGGGTGACTAGTGACAGAGTGAGGGGGTGACAGAGTGAGGGAAGGGGATGACTGGTGACAGAGTGAGGGAGGGGATGACTGGTGACAGAGTGAGGGAGGGGTGACTAGTGACAGAAGAAGGGAGGGAGTAGTGACAGGAGGGAGGGAGTAGTGACAGAGGGAGGTGGTGACTAGTAACAGTCACCACCTCCCTCACTCTGTCACTAGTCACCCCTTCCTTCCCTCACTCTGCCACTAGTCACCCCTTCCCTCACTCTGTCACTAGTAACCCCCTCACACTAGTGACAGATTGAGGGAGTGACAGAGAGAGGGAAGGGGGTGACTAGTGACAGAGTGAGGGAGGGGGTGACTGTCACTAGTCACCCCATCCCTCTCTCTGTCACTAATCACTCCCTCCTAACTCTGTCACTGTGTCACCCCTTCCCTCACTCTGTCACTAATCACCCCTCTGTCCTTAGTGACAGAGTGAGAGAGGGGGTGACTAGTGACAGAGTGAGGAAGGGGGTGACTAGTGACATAGTGAGGGAGGGGGTGACTAGTGACATAGTGAGGGAGGGGGTGACTAGTGACAGAGTGAGAGAGGGGGTGACTAGTGACAGAGAGAGGGAGGGGGTGACTAGTGACAGAGTGAGGGAGGGGAGGGGGTGACTAGTGACAG